ATATATATATATATATATATATATGTATACCAAGTCACTTTACTGTAGTAAAATTGAATAAAAGTTGGTTCGTGATACAATTATATACACATAAACATATACACACATACATATATATATATATATGTATACCAAGTTTCATTACTCAAGTAAAGATGAATAAAAGTTGGTTCGTGATACAATTATATATACATAAACATATACACAAATACATATATATATATATATATATATATATGTATACCAAGTTTCATTAATCAAGTAAAGATGAATAAAAGTTGGTTCGTGATACAATTATATATACATAAACATATACACACATACATACATACATATATATATATATATATATGTATATATGTGTATATAAATGTATATGTATATCCGCACACTCAAAAGGGTTCGAAACTAAGCCATGCTTGTCAGATGGCATCATTGCTATTCCATTCCACATACACACTCGCAGACGCAAGCCCACATGACCCTTTTCCTAATGCTTTTGAGGTGGCCAATTCGACCCAGGCGAGGTTGAAATTGTATTCCAGGTTGGAGCAGAAAGCCTTAAGGAGGCAAGTGCATAGGGAATTCATTGCAGCTATCTCAAATATCATCTTTAAAGTAATCCTAAAAGATTTGGCCTCGAATTCTTGATATGGGTACTGTGAAAGCAGAATTGGTGCCACGAGGAGAGATAAGTATAGCCCTGAGTTGAAGTGAGCATGGATTGCTTTTTGTGTTTTAATCTGGTTATGTGTATGTGTTTGTCTGTAAGTGGGTGTCTGGCATGTAAACAAATCATAGACTTCGACACATACGTTAGAAAAAACGAGTGAAGAAAGTCAGCAAGTTTTCTAAGCAACGGATTGTCATAACAACTGGAGCAAAGAACAATTGACAGAACATGGCAAGCAAGCGTGGGGGAAGCGGTGTGACCGAGATTGACGACCGACCGATGATGGGCAGACCAACGAGCCTTGGCTACTTGACGCGCCCGAGAGAGAGAGAGAGAGATAGCGGTGGTACCGTTAAAAAGGGGTGAGGTAAGAGACAAGTCCAAGGGGCGAGAAAAGCAGCACACTTTATTCAACAGACCGTGACCGTTGCAACCTGCCTGACATGTCGTTATGACGGGTTGTCGTTAGGTGGCAAACATGCTTCTCCAAGGTGAAGATCTCAATCAACAGACTTGCGAAATTCATGTAAATGTACATAGTCGATGGTGCGAGGCTTTAGGAAGACAGGAAACCATATACAATGCCTCTGGAAACAG